TCCCCACCGGAGGTTCCCTTCTTGTTCCATTTATTAAACCAGTATGATGGTTCCTATCTCATAAGGCAGTTGTGTGGGCCGATTGAAACAATCTTGCAAAGCATCGGAGTTAGTAAATGTCAGTTTCTCTCCTCTTTGTTCTCTTGCTTCTTCCAACCCCTTCCCCTGATGTTGGCATGATTGAAAGGCATAGACCTTGAGGGCGGGGACCACATGATGTCTTTTATCTTGTAATAAAGGATGGAGATGAATGTTAGCCTCTTGTGCCAAGTGAGTGATGACAGGTAATATTTATTGAGCACATACTATATGCCAGGCTTTTTTTTTTCCCCCAAAGTATTTTATATGCACTCTCTTTTCAGGCCTAAGAGATAAGTATGGTTATTATTGTCATTCTAGAGACAGATAGGCCTCCCATGCACAGAGAGCTTATGTAAATCGCCGGAGGTCACACAGCTAGTTAACAGCTAAGCCAGAACTGGAACTCAGAAGAGTTTGACCCTAGAACTCACCTCCTTAACCATCATATGGTCCTGACTCTTGGACTGATCAGCTGGAGATCATTGGTGGAGCTTCCAGGGAGAAGGGAGGAAAAGGAACTGAACTCAGAGTTTCCGGTCTGCACCTAACTCTGTGCTGGGCTTCTCACCTATGGAGGCAAAATTACCTGCTGCATCAGGGGTACAGATCTCAGCTGCAGGACATGTATGCTGTGTGACCTTCAGCAAGTTGCATAACCTTTCTGAGCCTGATTCTGTGCTTCCTGTCAAACGGGATGATACATTCAAAATGCTTAGCACAGTCCTTAGCACGTAGAAAAGATGTGGTGTGTGGTAAATCCCTAAATATAGGGATGTTGATATTTATGCAGATTCTTGTATATGGAAATGCTGCTATTTCCTTTGTTCACACATCCTGCAAGTAGTATGATTATGCCCATTTTATAGTCGGAAAAACTGAGTTTAGGTGGATGAAGCCACGTGCCCAAGATCCCATAGTGGGAATGTGGTAAAGCTGCAATTTGAGCCATCAAAGACTTTCAACCCCAAAGCCTTTCAAAACTCTGGCTGTGGCTGGGGAAGGAATGTCCCTGCGGTCTCTGGAGAAGGTTGAGTTTGAGAAGGTGGGAGTAGGGGGGCCAGCTGAGGAAAGGGATCCTCCTAAACGCTGTTTGTCTGTGGCCCCAGGGTCTCCAGGATCCGGGGAGGAAGAGCTGGGAGGGAATGGGAGCCTGGGGTGGGGCTTGCAGCAGCCCGGGGCAGGGGGAGGGGGGGAGGGGAAAGAGCAGAGGGGAGGCGAGGCGAGTCAGCCTTCGCCACGGTCAGGTGCAGCTGGCAGCGCAGGGCTCCGCTGTGTGTGCTGACAGGCCTGTCGCTGATGATTGGGTCCGTTTGGGGAAAAATGCATGTGTTTTGCACATCTATTTCCTTTCACCCATCACTCAGGGCTGTCTTCCCTGGAGGAGACCACGGGCGTAATAGCTGACATAACAGCTTAAGTGCCTTTTGGAAAACTCCCCAGCCCTGGGCTGCTCTGCGGCTCTGCCTCCCCGTTGGGCTGCAGGGCTAGTCTCTCTGGCTCCATCTCAGTCTCTGTTCTCTCTTTTTCTATGTCTCTGTATGTTTCTCTGTTTCTCTCTGTCACTCTTTCTCTGTCTCTGTCCCTTCTCTCTCTCTCGTCTCATTTCTATCCACTCCCCGCTTCGTCAACATTTCTCTTAACCTAATTCAGTCCAGATCTTGGTATCCTTCTGTTTCACTGGTGCCCAATTGGACTGGAGAGTTTTCTTCTAGAATGCCTCCCCCAGGGATCCCCCTTCTCTGTTCCCTCCATCTCCCATCTCTAAATTCCTCCAAGGACACTTCTGTCTCTCCAGGATGTCTGATCCAGGGGAAGCCTGACCCTCAGTGTCCCTAATAGCTGCTTTCAGCTGGCCACACCCTTTCCCCCTCTCTATCACCTCTCCAAGCAAGCTCTATCCTTAGTGCCTCTCGTTCCTCTTTCCAGACTCCCCTCTCCCTCTCTTCCTCTGACCCAGCTTCTCATCACTCAGGACCACTGCCCTCTCCCTTTCACATTCATCAGCAGTCAGGGCTCCTGAGGGAGTCAACCCAACACTGGCCTTTCCATCCCTGTCTCCACCCCAGAAATATACAGCTCCCCATCTCACTTTGGGGGTCACCCAAGGCCTGGGGCAGAGCCCAGGGACCCTTGTTTGGGATTTTTATTTTCTTTACTCTGTGTATGCATGGACATCTTATGAAGCTTACAGCCTTTCTGGGGTCAGGAAGGCAACTCTGAAAACTCTGGGTCCCTGAGTCCCTGTCTTGGTGGGGCACCCAGAGCCTCGTGTCAGAGCCTTGGTTCATGGTTCCACATCTCCTCTCAGACCAGGTGGCTACGACCCCAGGTGGAGATGACTACTGGGATCACTGTTGCCTACAGGGTGGGCAGGTCCCGAGACTGGCTTCTGCTTGGCCAAGAGCCTGGCCAGGGTGGAAGCAGGAGGGGTGGACGTCTCCAGTCATGGAGGTGGATTGAGGCAGAGGAACAGTGTGACTCCCCTCGGGGGTGCTGTCAGGGCCCAGAGGCATGTTACCCCAAGGCTGAGGAGAAGATGATGACCCCAGACCTCGCTCCTCGTCCATTTGCTGGTGAGATTTTAATGCACTGCAGGGGTCAGTGGAGCCCCACGACCGCACTGTTAATAGGGCAGAGCAATGCCAATTTCATGCCTACCTAGGCTTCCCGCTATTAAGGCCAAAAGAGGGAACAAATCTTTTTTCATTCTTTCCAGAAAATAGGCAAAAGCATTGTGCCACCTTGGCTTAGGTAGGATTGCTGGCAGGCAGCAGAAGGGGCAGGTGGTTTGTGTGAGGCCGAGCAGGGCTCTGGGGAGAAGGGAGTAAGCTGACGGCGCTCCGTGGTTGTTGCTGCTGACCTGGCCTGGATGTTTATAAGGAAGAACGTGAGAAGCCTTTCAACACTGGAAAATCATCTTTACTGTTGCTATTTGCAAGATGCAGGTACACAAATATGTATTGTATGAATGGATCATTTATTCGTTATATTTTTGAAAGAGAAATTGCTGTGAGGAGTCATTTGGGCATCCCAGTTTAAATGAGATAGGAACCAAGATTCTAGAAAATCAAATTCAGAATGTGGGGCTGTTGTAGATTGTAAACATGGCCCGAATTCTTGCCCCAGGTTGGAGCCATGTAACTACTTCTGGTCAATGGGATGTGGCAGAGGTGATCTATGCCATTTCTTGGCCTGACCTTAAAAACATCCTGTGTGATTGTATGAGTTTCCTATTGCCGCTATAGCAAATTACTGCCAACTTCATTGCTTAAAACAAGGCAGACCTATTCTCTTAGAGTCCTGGAAATCAGAAGTCTGAAATGCATCTTACGGAGCTAAAGGTGTTGGCAGGGCTGGTTCCTTCTGGAGGTTCTAGGGGAGGATCAGTTTTCTTGCCTTTTTCAGCTTCTAGAGGCTGCCTGTGTTCCTTGGCTCATGGCCCTTCCTTGCATCCCTCCAACCTCTTGCTTCTATCATCACGTCTCCTTCTAGTGCCTTCTTGCCTCCCTCTTATAGGACCCTTGTGATTACATTGGGATAATCCAGGATCATCTTCCCAGCTCAAGATTCTTAAATTAATCACATTGACTAAAATCCCTTTTGCTATGTAAGGTAACATATTCACAGGTTCTGGGGATTAGAATGTGGACATCTTTGGGGGGAGGCATTATTCTATCCACTGTAGTGATCCTCCAGCCCTCTCTTCCCCTGCCTTGGAGATTCTAGAGGCCGCATGTTCTGGCTGGTCTAACTATAAGATAGAAGAGGATCACACAACCCACCTTGGGCTTTTCATGAGCCCCAAGTCAGTTTTATTGTGTTAATCCAGTAAAACTCTGGGGTTAATGTGTTACTGCAGCATAGCCTGTCCTATCGAGATTAACATGCTCTTCCATTGGCTCTCCTTGGTGACTCTCGAGTTTTGGCCACAGCTCAGAGAGGCCAACCCCACCCCTCTCCAGGGACTCTCAGTCCTTCCCTCCAATAGCTGAATGGCATGGAGAATCTTCTCATAGTTAAATAGAAAGTTTCTGGAACCTCTACCACTGACTTACATGTGGCTTTTGTTTTAAATTGAAGTATAGTCAGCTGCGCTCTCTCTCCCCCTCTTCAGGGATGGCCCACATTCTGTCTATGGAATGTGTACCTACTTTTAATCTGAGCACCCAACCCCCACACCTCGTGGCCTTTCTCTTGCATTTCAGTGTATCTCTCTGAATATATCTACCTTTACTCAAAAAAAAAGTCTAAATCGAAGTATAATCGACTTATAGTGTGTTCATTTTTGGTGTACAGCATAGTGATTCATTACACGTGACCTTGATTGATGTTGGCCTTGGCCATGTGACTTGCTTTGGCTAAAGGAGTGTTTATGGACCAGATAGGGAGATGCCTTAACTGTGCTTGCATGGTTTGGATTTTTTCCTGGAGCTTTGATTATCCATTGTAAGAGGATTGAATGTCAGGTAGCCACTGCCCCTTTAGCCTGGGCTCCAGAACAAACTCCCAGGAAGAGACCAGAGCCCAATCCACATCCCACAGTCCAGCCCAGTCAGCCTGAAGCAGAGCTGCCCAATTGAGCCCAGACTAGGTCAGCTAAACCCCTTCATTCTGACCATGAACATAATTATAAACGCTTGTTGTTGCATGCCACTGAGATTTGAGTTGGTTTGTTACGCAGCATTATTGTGGCAAGAGCTGACTGTTATTCTTGGCCCTAAGGAAACATGGATTTCCTGAGTAGAGTCCTACCCCTGGATTTGGGTGAGACAAGGAGCTGCACTTCCGTCCCTCATCCAGGGAAGAGGATGCCCTGCATGTTCCTCATGACTCCCTTCAGGGCCTGTCCCAAGACTGCACGCCCGGGGTTCCAGTTGCTGCCATAGAACACAGGAAGGATACAAAGCCCCAGACCAAGGTGGGGAAAATTGTTCTGTTTTAATTAAACTGACCGAAGAAGCCAAGACACGGACAGAAAGAGACTAAGAACAAGACTGGAAATAGTTTAGAAAAGAAATGAAAACCGATGGCAGAGATGTCAGTGCCGGACGGAGTTGGGGGAGCGGGGCCGGGCCTTCACGTCAGCTCCAGGACCACTGTCAGGGTGAGCACCAAGGTGAGCCGGACGCCAGCAGGGCCAGACGCGGAACCTGCATGGGAAGCAGTGTCGGGACTTGTGACCCATCCGCCCTGCTTTCTGACTGGCACAGAGGGGCGTGGCGCCTGGGGGCAGAACCTCGGAGGCCCCGGGGAAGAGTCCAGGCTGCAGTGTTAGGATGTGCTGGGTTCAAATCCCAGATCTGCCATCTGTCCCACCTAACTGTGCTTGATTCCTTCCGTGTCCCAGGCCGGCTGGGAGGTCAGGCTCCCTGGGGGCCATCCAGACCCTCCAACAGGGACTCAGGGTCGGGGTCCTCCACTGTGAATGGTGAGACTGGCTTAGTGTGGGAGGGAGGACTGGCAGGCCTGGGGGTAGTGTCTGTGCCCCATGGGGTGGTGCTCAGGTCAGGGGCAGCCCACGGAGGGCAGGATAAAGGGCCCCAGCATCCTATGAAGTAGTCAAGGGCCCCGGAACACAACCCCACAGTCAATGCTGGACACACCCTCTCGGGGCCACGGCAGCTGAGCTCTCTGAGAGAGAGTCTAGAAATCCTTGCCAGCTGCCTTGGGATGCTGAGTCCCCCTAAACTGCTTCTGTGCCCACTCCTGACCTGTGACCCAGACGCTCCCCAGCTAAAGGACAATCACCAGCCTGAAGCGTGAGGGAGGGGCAGGGGCATGCCAAGGGGCCGCTCGGAGGACTTGAGCTTTGAAGCTAGAAGCTCCCGAGTGGAGACTTACCATTGGAGTCCTCCGTTCCTCTTGGAATATTTGGGTTTTCTGTTGGGAAGAACAGAAAGAGAACTAGAGCGTGGACGGCACGTGGAATCGGCCAAGGAACCCCCTCACCCAGCACCTGTGGTGACGTCACGTGCACCCTCCCAGGGCAGCCACACAACCTCTGTGGGCTGGACAGTATCAGCCCCACTCCACAGATGGAGAAACTGAGGGAGGTTAAGCAGTTTGCCCCAAGCGCTAACCGGTGGATCTGGGATTTGAACCCAGGGCTCTCTAGCTCCGTTATGATTTTAATCCCTGTGGGACACCCTCTCAGGGCAAATCTGGGGGACTCGGGCCCTTGCTGTCCCCTTCTCCTTGAGGCAGCTCCAGCCGGGGCCTGCCCCCGGGGAGTCCTCCCGATCCCCAGCCGGGTGCAGCGTACCGAACACGATGAGCCGGGTGTGCGTGTCGGTGGAGCCCAGCGGGTTCTGGGCCATGCAGCGGTACATGGAGCCGTTGAGTTCAGCAGGAACCCGCTCCAGGACCAGCTCCTTCCCATCAAACTCAGCGCTGCCGTCCAGGAGGCGGCTCCCCACTCGCGTCCATGTGAACATGGGCTCCGGGAAGACTTCGTTCTGCAGGCCGGAGCAGGGGAGAATCGGGTCACGGGAGGAACCATTCCGCCAGAGCAGGAAGGGGCCAGAAATGATCAGGCAACACATTTTTCATAATGGGTCGGGTGTGGCTGCCCGGAATCCCCGGATGGAAAGGATGCTAGGGCTGGAAGGAACGTCAGATCCACACACTGTGTCTGTTCTGAGTTCTAGGTAGGTAAGTAATGCCACGTGTGGACCTTGTGCCATTCCCTGTGGAAGTGGATTCTGCCATTACACGGATTAGGAGACTGAGGCCAGCTGGCTGTGCTGGAGGTCAAGGCGAGGACCTCAGAGCAGGTAGCCAGGGATGATGATGCCCCACTGGTCCCCTGACCACCTACCACCACACTCGCAGATGCTCAGAGACAGGCTGACCTGAAATCCATGGACCAGAATCCTCACTGTGTCCCCGACCCGGGCTCTGCTGGGTGTCATCATGATTTTGGGTCCTTTGGGGGCAACTGTAGGGAGAGGAAGGCCAGGTCAGAGAGGTGTGCATTTATACGGGAGCTGGGGGCTAAGCGAACCCCAGCCTAAGCCCGCACAGCTGGCTGCCAATCCTATTAGGAAAACCAGGGTGGCGCCTGGAACCAGCAAGCGGAGAACAGGGAGGGGAGCTGAAGGCGGGCAGAGGAGGCCTTAGGAAGCCCTCGGTGCTGAGAGACTGTGCTCTGGACCCGGGGAGGGTGTGAAGACCCCAAGAGTGTGAGCCGGACTCTATTCACAGCCCCAGAGTCCTTCAGTTTGCTAAAAGATAATTTTCAGAAAAAGGTACAGTCATGACTTTCATATAGAAATAAAAATGGGTGGAAAAAAATCCCGGACACAGAAATGGGGAAATGATAGAGAAAGTTCCAGTCCATTTCCAGGACCCTCTTTTATTCACTCATGCCGGCATTCAGTCACACACATTTCCCAAGCCCTGCCTGGGACCTGGACGTCTATCAGCGCACAGCACACAGTCCCTGCCCTCGTGGGGTTCACTCTCAGTGGGAACAAAAGACAGGCATGAGCCGGTGTGACAAGGGGTCAGATCAGAGAAGCCCAGGGGACGGTGGAGTCAGGGACACCCAGGGGAGGTGCTGTCCAGGTAACAACCCAGCTGCTAACGGGAAAAAGTCTGCTCCAGCAGCTGCTACAGCTCAAAGCGCCCAAATCCCACCCGCACTAAACTCCTACGGGATGGGGTTCTATCACTCCCCATTGTACAGCTGAGTTAATTGTGGCCCAGAGAGGGGAAGTAACTTGCCAAAAGTCACACAGTGAAGAAGAACTTGGACCAAATTTCCGATCTCATCACTCCTGCTCTGGTGTTCCTTCTACCAGGTTAATCTGCCCAGTGGGGTTTTTCTGGAATCTCTGGGTTGGAGGTGGGTGGAGGGTGGCCACAGGTGGGTGAACCATCTCCTTCCTTGGGCCTCACCCGTGCCTCCCTGCCTCTCTTCCTCACCTCCTTGTACCACTTCTTTTAAGCCCTTTAACGTCTCTGAGCTTGAGAGACAAGATGCCCAAGGGCGCTGCCCTCCTGTGAACGAGAGGATATTAGGGATGAAGGATCCCTGCTGGGACCACTCAGTCCATCCTCTCAGGTTTCAGATTGGGAAACTGAGGTCCAGGGGTAACGAAGAGGCTTATCCAAGGTCACCCACAGAGCCAGTTTCTCCTGTAGCTGACTTTTGGGTGGGGGTTCTTTTTGCTAGTTCATTCATTCATTCATTCATTCAACAAGTAATTATTGAGCCAACCATGTGACAGCCTTTGGGACAGGGCTGGGGATGGTGGTGATGGAGACACATGCCTGCAAACATGAGCTTACACCCTAGTTAGGGAGACATTTCTAGCCTTTCCAGACAAACAAGCACACGGACAAGAGTCTATCAGAGAGATAAAGCACATGCAGAGAATCAGACCAGGGGTGAGACGGGGTCTGAGTGTCTCTTCCAAGGAGCTGATGTTTCAGCCGAGATGAGGCTCACGAGGTGAGTTCCAGGCAGAGGGAACAGCCAGCGCATGGCGCTGAGATGGAAGGTCAGGGGTAAAAGGGGGTAGGGGTTGAGCCAGACCCCGTAGAGCTTCCTGGGCTGAGGAAGAAGGAAATGATGGGGTTTTGACGGGAGTGCCATGTTCACTGTCTGTAGGCATCGTGCAGGGGTGACTTCAGGAGAAAAGCTTGGTCCCAGGCCCTGGGGCTGACCTGGGATCCTCCCACCTGCCCCGACTTCTCCCCAAGCCTCTCTTTCCCACTCAGAACTCTCAGAGCAGAAACTGCAGCAGCTGGCAGATGTGGGGGATCCCCCAGGCATGGCCAACTTCATCCTCTGAGAATGAAACCAAAGGACTATTCATTAAACCACGAGCGAGACATCTGCAGCGCCACGTGCGGCAGAGGGAAGCATCCGTGGGAAGAGCCCAGCCGGCAGGAGGGGAGGGCATGGCGGCGGGGGCGGGAGTGGGGAGGGGCAGGGGGAGGAGGCGTCCACTGCTGCTTCCTCCCACATGAAGAATGAGCGCTGGCCCGGGAGGAGGAGCACGAGCTCTAGTCTAGTCTAATCTGTGTGCCCCTGGACCAGTCATTGCACCTGGCTCTCCCCACGTGCAAAGTGGGAACAGCCATGGCAGCCCTCGCCCACCCTCCTCTCTTGTTAGGAACGCTGGGAGAGGACATTTGTTCCTTGTGCACTGAGTGCCGGGCACTATGTTAAGCGCCTTATGTGTGCTCTCATTTCAACTTCCAACCTCTTAAGATTGTCCCCGTAAGGAGATGAAGGCTTAGGGGAGTCAAGTAACTTTCTCGCCTTTTTAATTAACTCGCAAGTGCTGTGAAGGCCCCTTTGCAGGTGGGAAGCGCTTCATAGGAAGATCTGGTGCTGGGTTATTTTGTCTGCTCTTTTCGTCCTGCTGGGATGGCACCGTCCCACGGCAGCCAGCAGGGGGCGAGGAAGGGCATCCCTGTCCCGCAGAGGCATGAACAGGAGGACAAGGGCAGACAACTTTCCCTCCTAGGTCAGATTCCTCACTGCCCTGGTTTCTATTTTGTTTGTTTGTTTGTTTTTGTTTTGGGGGAGGTAATTAGGTTTATTTATTTACTCATTTATTTTAATGGAGATACTGGGGATTGAACCTAGAACCTTGTGCACGCTAAGCACACATTCTACCGCTGAGCTATACCCTCTCCCTGCCCTGGTTTCTAAAGTCCCCATCTACTTCCTTCAGGCCAGTCTGGACCCGAAAGGAGGAAACCAACATTTATCAGATGCCTAACATGCGCTAGACCTCGTTCTAGGACTGTCACACCCACCCTGGTGCTTACAAGGCAGGTTGCCGTGAAACCCACTTTGCGGGCATTAGATTGGCCTTCAGGAGGGCAGTGGCTTGCCTAAGGCCACACAGCAGAGAAGTGGCAGGAGCAGGACCTGATGTCACGTAGGTCTTCAGAGGGAAGTTCGGAACCGGGGGTGGAGGATGGGAGCGTTGGATGACTTCTTCCTCGTGGGCAGCCAGATCTTTCCCCTGCCGCCCTGAGCGGCCATCACCCTCACACTTCCACCATCACAACTACACCCATTAGCAGCTCTTGGAAGTCAAGCCCTGGCTCCCTTTCTTGTTTCCAAAGCACATCACTGAAAGTACCTGAAGGAAGGTTCTCAGCGCCTGGGACATCACTCCTCTCAACCCCTGGACATATGGAGAGAATGGGAGTCAGGAGACTCAGGACTGAGGGATAGTCTTGTACTCCCCGGTTGTGTGACTCACTGGGTCTCAGTTTTCTCACCCGTAAATGGGGAGAATAGGTTGTTATCCTACTATTTGAGGAGTTGCTCTGAAAATGACAATGGGGGAGAGATATAAGATGAAAGTGTGAAATGTGGTGTCCATCTTCTCAGGGCAACATGAAAGATCCTGATTATATAACTGCTCTCTGTCATCTCCTGAGCATTTCTGCAAGGACAACCCTGTGAAATATCCTGGAAAAGCTCCTTTAGGCACCCCCCATCAGGAATTCTGGGTGTTCACTAAGACAACCACTCACCTACCTACCCACTCATCCACTCACTTATCCATCCATCAGTCCATCCATTCATCCACCCATCCATCCATTCACCCTTCCACCCATCCATGCTTCCCTCCATCCATCTGCCCATGTATCCATCCATCCATCCATTTATCCATCCATCATCCATCCACCTACCTATAAGCCTACTATCCCATCCACCCACCCACCCATTCATTCATCTGCTCTATCCATCTAGTTCTTTACTGTGCACCTAATCTGTGTCAGTCATTATGCTGGGGATACACTAATGAATAACAACAGTAGTTTATATTCACTGAGTACTTACTCTGGCACTATGCTAAGCTCTTTGTATGCACTGTCTTGTCTAATCTTCACATCAGCTCAGAAAAGTATTAATTGGTTGACTATTAAAGAAGTGTTTGTTAATTTACAGTTAGGGATTGCTCTGAGCCCTGCCTCATGTGAACAGGGCAGATCAAGACCCTGCCCACATGCGACTTAAATTCTAGAGGAGGATCCAGGCAATAGGAAAATATTTAATATACTTGTAAGTGGAGATACATGCAATGTCAGAATTCAAAGCAAGGTAAGGAGCTAATGGGGCCAGGAGGAAGAAGCCGAGATAGGACTCTCTGAGTAGAAGATTTGAGCAGAGACTTGAGTGAAGGAGGGCTTGAGACTATCTGGGATAAGATTATGCTAGGCAGAAAGGAAGGACAGTGCAAAGTCACAGAGGTGGGCCTGAGCTGGGCGTATTCAAGGAGGAGTAAGCAGAAACCCGTGGCTGGAGTAGATGGAGCAGAGCGTGATGGATGAGTACCACAGGGATTTAATTTTAAATGTGATGGCAGTCTAGTGGGTTGTTTGGTTTTGTTTTGACTGTCACATATTTTTAAATTGTGACAAAACTCACATAAGGGAAATGCACTGTTCTTAAGAATACAGTTTGACAAATCTTAATAAAAGTGAACACCTGTACAACCAGTATCTCCATCAAATTTTAGAATATTCCCTTCCTTTTGAAGGCACCATGATGCCTCCTTCCAGTCAATTTCCACTCTCCATAGGTAAACACTGTTCTGATTTCTATGCCCAGAGTTTGTTTTGTGTTCTAGGAGTTAATATAAATCGAACGCAGTGCGTACTCAGCTGTCTGGCTACTTTCACTCAGCACGATGTTTCTGAGCTTCGACCATGTTGTTGGTGTATTAGTAGTTCATTCATCTATACTGATGAGAAGTAATTCATTATATAAATATACCACAAATTTGTTCATCCAGTTTCCTAATTATGGACGTTTGGGTTTTTTACAGTTTTTGTTGTTGCTGTTGTTATGGATAAAGCTACACTGAACATTCGTGTTCAAGTCTTTGTGGACATATGTTTTCATTTCTCTTGGGTAAGTACTTAGGAGTGAAATTGCTGGGTCATAGAGTAGGGAGGAGTATTTATATCTTTGTAAGAAGCTGCCAGTTTCCAAAAGCAGTAGTACTATTTTGTACTCCCAGCACTGCACGAGGGTTCTGATTGTTCTACATCCTTGCCAACACTTGGTGTTGGCAGTCTTTTCCATTTTAGATATTCTAGTGGTTGTGAAATGCTATCCTACTGAGGTTTTAATCTTCAGTTCCCTAATGATGTTATACACATTTTTATACACTAATTGGCCATTTGTATATCCTCTCTTTTAAAAATTTGAGTTGCCTTGTCATTATTGATCTGTCGTAGCTCTTTATATATTCTGGATTCAACTCCTTCATCATATGTCTGTATTGAGAGAATTTTCTCTGTCTGTAGTGTGCTTTTTCATTTCACCTCATTTCATTTTCTTCAAAGTATTTTCAGAGCAGAAGATTTGAATGTTGATTAAGTCACCAATTTTCCATTTAGTGCTATTTGTGACCTCCTTAAGAAATCTTTGCCTACCTCAATATGGCAAAGATATATTCCTGTGTTTTGCTCTGGAAGTTTTGTGACACTAGGTTTAACATTTAGGTCTGTGATTCATCTCAGATGAATTCTTGTGTGTGTACAAGGTAAGGGGTCAAGTTCACTTTTTCCTTAAGCCTATCCAGTAGTTCCAGGGCCATATGTTAAGAAGAGTTCTCTTTCCCCATTGAGTAACCTAGGGACCTTTGTCCAAAATCAATTGATTCTCTATATGTGGGTCTATTTCTGGACTCTCTTTTGTCCCATTAATCTATTTGTCTACCATTGGAGGGTTTTGGATGTTGTGACTGGATTTATATTTTAGATCAACCAGGGTGGAGAACAAAAGTGGACACGAGGGAGCACAGAATCCAATCATCTGATCAGGGCTTTAAAGGTCAGGACCAAAAGGGTCGGGGCACGCCTCCCTGGCATGTATACCATGCCCTATTGCTTTTCTCCCCTTTCCAGCACTCAGACGTTCTTGTCTGGTCTCATCTGTCTCATTTTTGGTGGGGGTGGGGCAGGAAGCCATCCCATGGGAAGCTGAAGCTTGGGCAAGAGAGGCTGGGGGTGGTTTTCATGGGCAAAGCATCCCAATGAAGGACTGATGCTGCACTGTCATCCAACTTGGAAGCAGACTGTACCCTGGGGACAGAGAGGTTCAAAAGCAGGAAGGAACTCTGGGAAGGATGGAGGGTCCAGAGAATGGGTCGGGCTGCTGAGGTGGGAGGGCTGAGAGAGGGGTCCAGGCAGGCTCTGGGTGGAGAAGGTCCCAGCACCTGGCACAGGGCCTGGCTGTAGAGGGTGCTTGTGGAATGTGTACAGAATGGTGAGTAAATGGTGCTCAGGGAGCAGGCGCCATGACAATGGATGCTGTGAGGAGGCACGGTGAGTG